AACCCTAAACCCTAAACCATAGCAAGCCAGGAGGCAAGGTTCTCCTGGAAGGAAGCGCAGACGGCTCGGCGCTGAACCTCGCCAGCGGCGTCGACCTTTGGGACCCTTTGTGTTAAGCTTTGGGGTTTAGGGAGGTTCTGAGGCTTATCTTATAAGTAGAACAGGTAACCCTAGCCCGTTTGTGGCACCATGACCCTTATGTTACCCGAAAGATTAACCGCTAGTTCCCGTAGGATCTGGACAGGTAATCAGTAAGCCATAGTCGCTTTGCAAGTGCTTGCTTTATTCTATAGGCTTTTTAAAGTCTTTGTTTATCAAACCGTATAAACCCCAAACCGGGTGGAGGGTGTAGTACTCTAGTACTCGAGATTTCGGTACGTTTTGGGGTTCAGGCTTTGAGGGACCTCTGAGTCCGCGAGAGAGAGCGNNTTTTTTTTTTTGGGGGGGGGGGGTGGAATATGGACGGGTTTGTGGCGTAGTGAAATGAAGTGCTTCCAACTAGTGCGATCATTGCTGCCATTTTGCTGCAGAATGTTTACTCTCGCGACGGCAGAATCTAGGTCAGTTGATCGGTATGGTTGGGTCACGTAGCATGCCGATCGACCAGTGTCGACGATACTTCTGTTAATGTGTCAGCTTGCATGATCTATGTCTGGTGTTATGCGTACATGTGCGATTGTGTGTTTTGCGGCGCATTTCTGTATGTGCTCGTGTGTGCATGCACAAAACTTCAGTGGTTGAAATCTGCATTCGGAAGATAGCTAGACAGCAAACAGCATGATGAACGGTGCATTTACACTCCTGCTCAGATGTCCGTTGAACACAGTGGGTCGCAAGGTGTATGGCCCTAAGTCGTTGAAGCCCACGGTCGGAGGATTGATGATTTCAAGCTGTGCGTGTCCCATGCATAGGTTCTCACAACTCCGACGCCGAACCCTGAATTCCCTGATGCTCCAGGGCTGAGCAGTTGCTTGTGCCGAAATACCGCTCAGCCTATGACAACAATCAGTGGGGTTGATTGATCGGTTGATACCTGCTCTTGGGCGTCTGTGGAGCCTCAGTTGACAATTGCTTTCCGAAGTGAAATGACTTCGGAGGTTGAGTTGACGAATGTGATGACCAGTATCTCTGCAGACCTTGCCTGGTGTCGTCCGAGCGTGAGTGTCAAAAATATTTCCCATGTTTGTTGCAGGAGTTGGCTCCAAGCAGCACAGCTTCTTGGAACACAGCTACAGGGCTTTTGTGTGAAGATGTTGACGCATGTTGTGGTGCAGAAGAAGGACGGCGCTGCATCAGGGCCGTTGGCACTTTGCGGAGCTAACAATGCGTTGTCACCAACAGCAACGACAACCAGCAGCATGCAACCCCACCAGCAGGTGAGCTTGATCAACCTCACCATCACCATAGGTGTAGTATCAACAATGGTGGCTTACAAAACAGCAACAGTTGTGATAATCGTCGTCGTCATCGCCTTAGTCTTCAGGGAACTCATCTTCGCCATCATCTTCATCGTCGCCATCATCATCCTCATCATCATCAACATCATCTCCGTCGTCATCGCCATCGTCATTTGTAGGGAATAGCATAGTGAGCGCGGCAGTCCTTGTCGTCGTCGCCACGTTAGAAGCAGAGGAAGTCGGAGTCTGGCCAGCTGCCGCAAGAAGCAATAGGACAACTGTCGAACGGTGTTAAGCTAAACCCTAAACCTTAAACCCCTAAACCCTAAACCCTAAACCCCTAAACCCCTAAACCCCTAAACCCTGAACCCTTAGCCCCTAAAGAGTAAACCTTCGGACCCTTCCTGCCATTCACCCGCTTCCCAAGGCTTTGACGGAGCTGCAAGGCAAAGGCAACTTCCAGGTCATTGCGGTCAACAATGTGCAGCTGGGCCGGGCTTAAACTCCCGGGTTTGGGTCATTGTTTTTTTGTTGGGCCCTAACCACCCAGGTACCTACTATATAGGGCCCTAGGCGCTCTAGTACCCCATATAGTAGGTACCTGGGGGGTTAGGGATAGTATAAAGCTCTTAAAGGATTTGGCTTAGATTTGGGTTTGGGGAGGCCTCGGTTTTATTGTTTAAGCTCTGTTTTTTGGTCTTCTGATGTGGAACTCTAGGATGGGATCTAGGGGTTAAGTAACGAATATGCAAGGCCTGAGCTAGTCCAGAATCGAGAGCCGTTCAGCTGAAGGGTTCGCACACCAGCATGTATATAGGCTTCGCTCGACGGCCTGCAGAGCGCAAGTTGTAGTCACGACTGAGCCTGCCTAACTTCCCTAAGCCGTAAAAAGCCGGCTCCAGCTGCTTTGTGAGGTTTCGCCATGTGGTTTTCAAATCATCGATAAAACGATCCCAATCCTGCAACATTTCATCCTCTCGAGGTTTGCCTGGATACGTCTGAAAGTGAGCATCGGATGATTCTATTCTCACGCTCTGGTATACATGCATCATCATGTATTAGAGTGGGGCATACTATGAACTGACCAAAATTCTGATGGCCCTTTAAAGTGACCTTTGGTAGTAGAATGTAGGGTTTCTATAGCAGGAATTACGAATCTGGTTTGGGCAAGTATCCCCCCTTAGAGCCCTCTGGGGAAGCCAGCTTGCACCGAGGACGGGCTCCGCCGAGCAAATGGCGCGGGAGCTTTGCAATCCGCCTGCGGCCACTGATCGGCAGCGGATGCGCAAACTCCCCAAGTCGCATCCTAAGCTATCATAATATATCACTATCGTATATTATAACTTAGAGTATTATAAATTGGCATTGAGAATTCTGTCCCTCAGCTTCCGCCCCCTTCAATCCAGATTAGAATCATCGCCAAGAGTTCTGGACCTAGCCGATGGAACTCTGCGAGAAAGCTCTGTGGCCCCTTCTCTCTACAATTGCTAGACTCTTATATTCTACGTCCTGAAAACTCAACCGATGCTATATGGCTCTTCTGATACGCCCTAAACCTGAATCCTAAATCCTAGAACCCCAGAACCTACGTAAAGTCTGCATGGCAAGAGCGCCTAAACCCTTACTAAACCCTAAACCCTAAACCCTAAACCCCTAAACCCCTAAACCCCTAAACCCCTAAACACCTACACCCTAAGCCAAGCCGAGGCGATCTGGCTGGATCTGTGGAACACAGAGTTCCAGGGAGGCCTCAAGGTCGAAATTGAAGACCTCACTGCAGGACTTCTCGGGGTTCGGGTTTCGGGTTGAGGGTTTAGGGTTTAGGGGTTTAGGGTTTAGGGTTTAGGGTTTAGGTTTGGGGGTTCGGGTTTCGGGTCGAGGGGGCTTCCGTTACAGTTTTTCCTTTAAGGGCCCTATACTGTAAAGGTTGTAGGGTTCAGGCTTCCGTTACAGCTTTTTTCCTCTAAGGGCCCTATGAAGGTTGTAAGGTTGCGGGGTTTAGGATTTCTAAAGCGCTTCGGGCTTATATTCGAGGTTGCAGGCTTTCCGTTCCGGGTTCTGGGTCTAGGGTTCGCAGTGGAAGGGCTCCAAGGATGGCATGAAGGTAGGTGGGGTAATCCCCACATGGGAGTCCTTATGTACTTATAAAATCATGTCCTACCTTCTTCCCACATTTCGAGGCCTCCCATATGGATACTTCCGAGCTCAGCTTGTTGCTGTGCAAGGGACCCGCCTTTCGTCGCCAAGTCCTCTCAAGAAAGGTATCCTTCGGGGAACCCTACCGTCCCATAGACCATGGTGCTGGCAAAGTGGGTTTCCAAACTCCGCAGCCGATCGGCCGGTCGGGTGATCGGCCGGTCGGGTTTGGGGCTTAGGGGTTCAGGTTTCAGGGTTGATTGGCTGATCGGCTGATGCACGGTTTTGGGCTCAAAAGCCACGCACACTGCCATAGACATCCGATCGGCAGATCTGGTTTCAGACACTTCTTAGGAAACCCTATCAGAATGCTTGTAGAATTATAGAAGCACTATAGAAGCCTTAGTATTATAGGACCCCTCGCAACCGTTTAAGGGACCTCCACTTAAGGGCATGGAAATGAAAGCATGAAGGTGCTCACAACAGCATTGCTCACTAGCCCCACAGGCACCTCCTTCACAGTAAGACGAGAGAAGGGACTGCGCCACATCATAAAGCTGAGACCGAATAATGCAATGAGGCCGAGTAGAGGTTTTCGAGAGGTGGAGTTTGCACCCGAGGGCGTGGGACTCGTGTTGGTTCGACTTTACCAACACATCTTGGCTATACATATGGCTTGCGGAGAATCTGAACAGTAAAATGCGAGCTCTACAGTTCGGACATGGGTTTAGGGTTTAGAATCTAAAAGTGAAACGCCTGTTGCAAACAGGGCGTAGATCCTGATCTCATCAGGCACAGCAGGAGTAGGACTGGCAGTTTTGGTGGCAGTGAAGGATCCCCTGCCCTAAGTAAAAACCGATGCTTGCAAGGATCTATAGTACGGTTCAGGGTTTAGGGTTTAGGGTTTAGGGTTTAGGGTTTAGGGCCTATAGAGAAGAATGTTCTGGGCTTTTTGGATTTATGTAGCAGTAGAAGGTTCAGGGTAGTTAGGTTTGCGTGTGTCGAGGATATGCCACGGCCAAGAGCGTGCTGCACGGGGTGACCCTCCAAATTCCGCCCTGCGCTGCCCTCAGCTTACGATCCCGGCGAGGCACTGAACCCTGAGCCCTAAATGCATGAGCACATGGCAGTCCCTTCTGAAATGCATACCTTACAATCAAACGTCTGGCTTGTGGGCCAGGAACTTTTCAAAGTTCGTAGGCCAGCAGGCACTCAGATGGATTCCAAACAGATGTCGCCCGCTACACATAATAGTTCGGTTTACGCATGCATACATACATGAATGCATACATAGCACAGCATAGCATAACACAACATATTTATATGTATATATATATACACACATATACAACAAAAATATGTACAGGCATACATACATAGACGCACACACACACACAAACATACACACTTTACATGAAAAATAGAGTCAACATAGAAGCGTCTAGATCATCTCACACTGGAAGTGTGCCGCGGCCAAACCTTTACACCTCGTACACCTGCTACATACATACATACATACATACATACATACATACATACATACATGCATGAGTTTTTGTTGATACGCGGACCACTTTGCTACATAGGTCCACACACGTCCGCAACTGGCCTCGTATAGGTACATGCATGGATGCATGGTGTCTGTCTACACCAATGTCGATATGATTGTATCGCTGCCTTTATGTACATAGGTACATAGACACATGTGGATGCATGCCTGCATGCTGTATGCATACATGTGTGTATGTCAACGCACGTATGTAAAATAGCTACCTAAGTACGGATGTTTGTTGGTGTCCGTGCGTGCATGAGTGCTTGCGTGCGTGCATGCGTGCGTGCGTGAGTGTGTGTGTGTGTCTCGGTTTTGGAATACACCATTTTACTGTTGACCTTGCAGAACCTATCGCAACTTGTCCAAACCCATGACAACTGAACATGTGTTCATCGGCCGTTCACAGAAAGCAAAAACAAAATTGTGTGATGTGATGAAATGCATGGGGTAAGTCGGTCCCGAAACCCTAATTAAACTTAAACCTAAATTCTCTTTATCGTATGGTTTAAACCGATATGGATTCGTCGGCAATGGTTCGCCCCGGTGTTTTCGGCCTTTGCCAACGAATTTGGCGGCCAAACCGTTTCGGCCAAGAGATTCGTCGGCAGTGGCCAACCCCGGCCATTGCCGACGAACGTATTGCCCAAACCGCGATTTGGCCCATGAAACTCTGCGGCTCCCCTTCAGGATTTGGGGCCTAGTTCGGGCTGGCCTCTAGGATTTGGAGCCTAGTTTGGGCTGGTCTTTAGGACTTGGGGCCTAGTTTGGGCGGGCCTTAGGATTTGGGGCCTACTTTGGGCTGGCCTTTAGGGTTTCGGCCAGGTTGATTATGACCAATGTAACTATAGGGTTTAGGGTTTAGGGTTTAGGGTTTAGGGTTTAGGGTTTAGGGTTTAGGGTTTAGGGTTTAGTTTTCTCATGAGTGATAGCCTTGTCCGCGAAGATTTCAGTCTTGCCCTTGTCCGCTTTCGGTGGAACGCGCCTATGCGTACTGGGTCTCTCTTATGCGTTTTACGTCAAAGTGGCTAGTGGCATCTTTGTGTCAGAAGGATACTATGCGCTTACAAGATGTCTATCATGTAGTTGGTGTCAAAAACTCCCACTGCTGAGTGCGAAAAATACATTACATGCTTACTGTCCGGGAACTTCTTGGGTGGGTGGTATGTTGTCTAGATTCGAAGCCAACTTCTGGCCGATGCTAATCCTGAACCCTAGATCCTAAACCCTAAGCCCAAAAACTCCCTAAAGCCTAAACCGTAACATCCTAAACCCTAAACCCTAAGATCCTAAACCTAACATCCTGAACCCTAAACCCTACGATCCTAAACTTTAAATCCTACACTCCAACATCCTAAACCCGAAACCCATGAGGTTCCAAGTGCGCCTTTGTGGGCAAGACCGGCTGTGGCAAGTCGACCACTCTGCTCCGCGACAGTTCGCTTCGGACTTTTTGGGCTTACCTGGGGTTTAGGATTTAGGGTTTAGGGTTTATGGACTCCAAAAGTATGTAGAATCATAGCATTTGTTTGATGTCTTAGGGTATTGGGCCATGATTTCACATACTTTGGGGGGGTTTAGGTAGGGTTCCGGGATTTTCGGTTCAGGTTGCAGGGTTCCAAACAGCGTCACTCAGGATTTCTGCCTGGAACTCAGAGCGTTCAGCGCCTATACTGCTTCAAGTTGTATTCCGTAATTTTGCGTTATTGAGTTTCCGGCACTAGTCATTCCACTGCGAATACTGAAGGGTGTGGGGATCGATACTCGCACAAGACTTACAAGTAACTCTAACGTGATACCACCAATCCCTGAATCGAACATGTTTTGGTTGCAACTCGTGTTTCTGCCAAAAACCGTGCTCTCCGCACGTGTGTGTGCTTGTTGGACTCAATGGGCCGCTCTTGGGAATCTAATTGACGGTCTTGACTGGTACATTGGGCCAAACTCTGAGCCCTAGCACCATCTCAAATACCCTAGACCGCAAAGCTGTTTGTTCAGGTAAGGGCTTTATGAGGGTCCTATACGGGGTATATATACATGCAAGGTTTCGAGACAGTTCTACAAGGTACTCATGAGGCTTTGTAATCTCTAAGCTATCAGATTGTGGAGCTAACTTGCATGTAGGGTTTAGGCCTAAACTTTAAACCCAAGTCAAAGAAAAACCCTAAACCCCAGCCACCCAGGCTCTGCATCCTACGCTTCTTGGAGGCACGCAGTGGGCGCATCCTTATCGGAGGCCGGGTCGTCGTGACTTTCGACTTACAGTAATGTAGGGGCCTAAATGATTACTAATACTAATTGGGAGGGGGAGGGGGGGTCCTTAGTATATTATAGTATAATGGGCCCCAAAACCCTATTCTAATTCTTAAGGCCCCTATATCACCTGTGAGGGTTTAGGACCATCTTGTAGGTTCGAATCCCAAAGGGTCCTATGTACTGTTATGCGGGATACGTCCCTAAATCAACGCGATGCCTCTAGGCACATACCATGTTCAAAGGCCGTGGATGTTTAGAACCCTAACCCGGAAACCCTAAACCTTAATTAAGCCCCTAAACCCTAAACGCCGAAACCCTCATAAACCCTCAATTCCTTGTCCACACCCTTACCTGGTCTGGGTTCTGGCGTACCATACTTGAATTCTTTTTGTGGACCTGTTCCTTAAAGGAGCCATTATGAGATATAAGTTAATATTCCATGAAGCCTAAATAATTACCAATATTTTTCCCTGGGGTTCCTTCTTATACTTATATCTATTTAAAAGTACCTCCAAACCCTATTCCAAATATCAAGGCCCCTATATAACCTGGATGCAGCGAGAGGCCGAGATAACGCGAAGCTCGGCTTGCGAGCAGTGCGCCGCATCGTTGGCCTCGTGCCTCAGGAGTGCTTTTCGGTATTACCCGGGCCCCAAAAGTATGTAGAAGAATGGCCGCTTATAGGTTTTGGGCCGTTATCGTACCTACCTTTCGGGGTTTAGGTAGGGGTGCTTCTTTTCCCAGTGACAGTTGTTCTAATTGGGGCTAGTAGGGTTTAGGGTGTTGGGTTTAGGGTTTGGGGCTTAGGGTTAGGGTTTAGGGTTTAGGGTTTGGAGGGTGGAGGGCTCAGTGCTTCATAGTTTGTTGCTCGTTGCTGAAATTTTTCTCAGACTACATGCCGCCCGAACCCCTCTAGTGTAAGTTTCCATGGCATTCAAACAGGAGCGTCCAACGAAAACATACCCTGCTATGCCTTCGACCCTATTCTAATTCTTCAGATCCCCTTCTATTGTCTCAAATGGAGGCATGTCCAGACAGCCGGTTGTGCCCTGAGAGCTGTCATGAAAGATTATGCCATGAAGTAGAAGAGGTTGAAATGCAGGTATCATGATCTTCGCTATCGGCGTGTATGTTTTCTTCATCATTCCCACCAATAATCTGTTGTTGCGAGGCATTGTTCTTAACCTTGTTATTGTGGTTGGCGTGCTATTATTATTATTACTATTGGTACGGCCATTTTCCGTGATTGGTTTCATTACTAATTACTATTGAACCTCGTTGTCATGTTCACCATGGCTTTTGATTATACAGCATGAATATTCACCAAGCCTATGCAGGACCCCACCATCTTCGAGGGAACCATCCGTTTTAACCTCGACCCTTTTGACGAGTTCCCAGATGCGCGCATTTGGGAGGCCGTTGGTTCTTAGGGCTTAGGTCCAGGAGAATTTCGGGCGCAGAGGGTTGGGGTTTATGGTTTAGGGTGCAGAAAGGCTTGTGGTGTAGGGCTTCGGGAAGAGAGTTGTTGCAGGTTTTTTTGGATGACAACATGAAGGATTAGGCCGCAGTGCAGGAGGCTTGTGCCTTTTTTAATGCATGCTGAGAAAAGCTCAGGCACGTCCCGGGTGATTGTGTAAAATTTGGCTTCATGGCCGGTCTCGGGACGGAGGACACTGATGCTGCCCATGGTACTGCAACAGGTTACAGCATTTACAGCATCAGTAACCTTAGCAAGCAGCATGCATGAAGAGGTTGAAATTGCGGGCACTAAATCATAAAGAATCATACCACCTGATGAGAAAGAGGAGCTTTGTCCGCGACGGCAAAAAACAAAGCAGCGGCCAGAACAGTAGTGAAACCTCCACACCTATCGCGATCAAGCGAGAGCAATGATGACGCTGCGAAGGGACCCATACAAGTGCATGTGGCCACCAGTTGAAGAACATGGCATCGTCGTTTAGTTCACTGCTGCAGTGGGTCTTTTTTCAGTTTTGGGTTCTGTAACACTCAGACCGAACAGGAAGAGCTTTGAGCTCGAATAGATGCAATGCAGATCTTCGAATACTTTCTTCTGCTGATGCGCCTGTCGATTGTGGATTTTTTGTCGTGGTTGGTACCCTAAACCTGTCAAACCCTGAACCCCTAAACGGCCAGCGCTGACTCAGTACTGGGATGTGTAGGCTGTCGATAAGTTGGTTGCAGAGCGCACTTGGAGACGGGATGCATTCTGTTCGGATGCAGAGATCTTCACGTGAAAGCCTCATAATATAGGGGCCTTGATAATTAGAATAGGGGTTTGGGACCCATTATGGTACACTTCTTTTTAGGAACCCCCAAAATAGCATTCGCAATTATTGAGGCCCTACATTAAGTGCTTCTAGCGAATGGTGTCGACTTCATGGCCAAACATGCCCGCATTCAATCAGGGTTTAGAGGTTTAATTAGGGTTGAGGGTTCAGGGTTTTGCGTGTAGGAAGTTTGCACGAAGGAGTCGTCTTTGCTGTCGTAGCTGCGAAGCCCCCGAGACAGAATGAAGAAGTATCTCCACAATTGCCTGAACCTGCAGAGGCCGTACACAGTGTGCAGCTGATGCAATTCATCCGCACCTTGCCAGATGCTTGGTATGCACTGGTTAACCAACAGCCTCACACCGTTGCGCACTCCAGGACTTTATAAGCCCCAGTCCAAATTTCCACAAGTAAAGCCTAGGCCCAAAACCTTAAACGTAACGCGCGCCTTAACGACCATGCGATTTTGACACGGTCCATGGGTTTGTAAAATTGTGGTAAATGTGACGAAAAGGTTTGTTTTCGATGTTTAGAAAGTACATTTTTTAATCAGGGGTTTTGCGTGTCGAAGCACGAAAACACTGGCCTCAGTGGGGATTTCTAACCTTCCGAATGCGAATTGTGCGGCAGACCTCTTTTTTCACAGATGTCTTCTTGTTCTTGGTGTCTCTCCTCAACCGACTACGGTCCGTCGACAGCTGCTTTGGAGTATTGGAACGGAACATAAAGGAAAAGCTGATGATGACGGTGATGATGATGATGATGATGATGAAAGTTCTGTTTGTTTTTACCAGGCTGTTGTGTCGAAGCAGGATGATGAAGATGATGATGGCCTGCACGTTGATGATGTTGATGGGGGATGGTTGCGAAGTAGACGTCATTCCCCCACCCTCCCCAA